ATATTATATTAAAGAATTGTATATCCATAGAACTCTCCTCGTTGTTTATCACTCATGTGTTCGTTTGCCTGGTTGTTTGGTTGGTTTGGTTTGGTTGGTTTGTATTGCCTTGCCATGCGGAGAATTAAAGCATGGACCACACAAAGATATAATATGCACAATATCTCTATAGCTTGTTATGGGAAGACGTATTTTCCTCTAGGATGTTTCGAGAAACACTTGTCACAATTGTTTACGATGTATTTGGACCATCTGTGCCTTCACAGTTACCTTGCAAGACACCATCTGTGTATAAGATGTCGATCTGTAGCTGTAAGGAGATTTGATGCTGTATGTAATGATAAGGAACCCTTCATTATGACACTGTTATAGTTAGGTTGGTCTGCGCAACATACTATGCAAGCAAACCGTGTTTCAACTCTTGCCCCATCCTCGATAATCTCCAGGGAATACGTTACGATCACTCTCCACTATACCCTGGATGCATCCACGGCTTGGCCCGATTATTTTATTACCTCCCTTTGCTGGCTTTTTATCCAATCAGGTTTCTACGCTGGGAAGTGGAGCGAACCAATCACAACTCACTTTCGCTTCTTAAATTATCTAACCGTTTAAACTTGGCAACACAATTGATGCACAGGTACTCTGAAAGAGGTAGATGGTGTTCTTTCATATATTTTTGTTAAGTTTCAGATCTGTCGATTTGTCTGTATTAATTCCCCCAAAATCTGAGTGGCACTGCGAACAAACCTTCGCGACTGCGACCGTTATCTTTGTTGACACTGGCAAGCTCGGTTGTAACGGCGGCTTCGCTGATTGGCTACTGTGAGAATGCGGAGCCAGCAAAAGGCGGTAATATAATTATCGGGCCAAGACCATGGATGCATCCAGGGTATAGTGAGAGTACACCCTGGAGATTATCGTGGATGATCTTGCCTGGAGTGGTAGGGTATCCTGGTGGTTACACCGTTCCGCCGTCACACTGATGACTCGGGTTCCATTCCCCACATGGGTACATCGTCCGGAGAGCAATGTTGGTCTCCCTCGCGCTGTTCCATATTGCTGGACTAATAACTGCTGAAAGACGGGGTAAAATCATACTCATTCACTTAGGACATAACCTTTACTTGTCAAGGTTTGATTAACAAATATAAGTCACTATTCGTTCAATGATACGTGGTATAAATTGTGGGTATCTGCTTTGGACTGTGTTACAGTTGTTTTATGACACGTGAGCTCAGAGAAGGGGACAGTCATGGAGTGATGTTGTTCCAGTTTTAGACATTTTCTACCTTGGTGAAATACATGAACAGAGGTATTACATTGTCAAAGAAAGTGTTATAATCAAAGTGGATCTGAGATTGGAGCCATGTTCATCGGATTCCGGTTCGTCGGTGGGAGACAACTCCGCGAATTGGGATGCCTTTTACCGATTGGTTGACTAATACTGGGTTGCCAATGGGTTTTTGTTTAAGGAAGGAACACATGTATGAAATCACAGTAGTCACCTCGCACTGACACAGTCGATTTTACTCAAGAATATCGTGTTAAGACAAAAGTACATCTTTCTCCATAATTCACTCAAAACTTTCAACTCACGTATTGCCCCTTAAATCAATATTGTGGATTACACCAGAAAGTTCAACTTTACATTTGTGTTGGTGGAATGGAGAAAAACCAACTGTGTTCTCGGTGTTAACTTAGGTTGAGTAAAAATCGAATTAAGAACCGAACGAACTATATTCGTGAGAGAACAAATGAATATAATTCTTGTCAATATTATTCAGGAGTATATTTGCAGAAAATACAGTGTGGTTTGTTTCTGTTTTTTCCCGTGCAAACGTGCACTTTGCCATAACAGCTTTGTGGTTCAGCACCGGGCCGTCTATGTGGTCTTCTCCGTAAAAACGAGGCTTCTTCGTATCTCTCAAGGGAGACCACTCTCCATTACAAACGAAAAAGCACATAGCGCGCAAATCAAACAAACAGTTCGATTTCGAACACACTACGTACATTTTGATGTTTATTTAAATCATTTTCTTAAGTCTGCACGTAATTGTCTAATTGAACAGGCCTTGAACACAACGTGAAAGGGTCATACAAGCAACTCAATGTAATCAATATTAGCACATGCCATGTGTTATCCGAAATATATATGAACAGGGATCTGTTATTCAAATTTACAGAACGTGAACCATTCATTGCACAATCCAATGACACAAACTGTCCAAGTGTATCATGCGGCATTGTCCACCAAAGAATAAATTCCAGCAACGATTACGCGTATTTAGAAATGGTCGTGCTGTAGATGTACTAGTGATGACTACAACATAAAATATCAATAGTTCACAGACTCACTCATTTTACAACATAAACATTCAAACCAGATTTATTTTCAAGAATATGTCTGACTCACAAACCGCCATGTGACCATGCTATCAAATGATAAGCAAAGAATTGCAATGAGACAGTAATTTACAAATGTTCAAAACCTTCCACAATAAACTACCCTCCAAACTCCAATCAATATCCACAACCAAATATTCCCTGTTTCACCCTTTACCACTATCCTCTGCCCACCACCCTCTATTCCTGTCACTACCAAATGCACCTGGTAACACCAGTAACCCTACTCCTACAAACACCTACTGCCCTCTTACCCCACTAATATCCAGCAGCTCTATCATCTGTGCACTCCCCACTGCCCCCTCCCCACCTATTGACTCTATTGTCCACTATAACTATCACATATCCTTTACTAACCAACCACCACGACCAACTTGTGCTTCCTGCAGCCCATTCAACTCCTACTATCATCTATTCACTCCCCACTGCTCATACCTGGACAGCTACTCTCAACCAGTGCCACATATATTACCCACAACTCCTACAATTACTAAATCCACTCAGAAAATACTTGGGCTGGTATTGGCATACAACCTGCGATACGATACATCACAATTCTAAAATCTTAAATCACGACGATATATTGCAAAAGTATTGTGCGCTGAAGCTGGGATACGATACGAATCCCGGAATAGGAGTGGCGATACGATACGTATCACGACACTAAAATCTTTAATTCTAACACCAACTATAAAACACTTCAAGATCAAAACAAAACCATTTTAAAGTATTTCGTCAAATTCCGTTAGCGTTTTTCAATGTTCATTCGGAAACGAGATAATTAAGTTTCTACACGGACTTAGTGAACGTTGATATCATGCGAGCGCGTTTTCGGACACTGTTCTTGACGCAAGAAGTTCCGAGAAAACGTTTACTTATGAAGGGCAAATAAGTAAGCATATATTTTGATCATCAAACAAAAGTAAGTCTTTTTTATTGACGGATATCGCAATTCGGAAATATTCAAAGTAAAACATCGATGTATCGTGGCCCATTTGAAGTATCGTATCTGGATATACGACAATGTAAAACTGTGTATAGATTCATTGTATTGGCGGCCCATAGAAAATGCATATACCCACTTCCAACTATAGATAAACTTCCTTTTTTTCACTCTACTCGTATCTGCTAAAGGGGGTGAAATGTGTTGGCATGACAGCACCAGGGCCCACTTGCACAAAGCGATCTTAGCCCTACAATGATTGTAACTCCCATTCTCCAACATAGGATTAAGATAGTTGTAGCGCTAAGATCGCTTTGTGCAAGTGGCCCCTTGTCCTCATGCATTTGTCTTCATTGTCAGGATTGAACGTTTTATTCCAGAAGAACAGGAAACGGTTGATCATTTAGGAAACGTCTTCAGACTATCTCATTATTCTTTTCACAACAAAGGATGATCTACAACGTGACAAAAAGTCACTTGCAACAACAGATGCATCGCCTTAGCAACAGATGCATCATTTTCAACGGAGGCAAATGTTACACAAGTGAAATGCTTGTTGAGGCAGAGAAGAACATGAAGATGAGAGAGGAATTGTTGAGAAAGATACATGAAGAGTAGATTCAAGAAGAGAGAAATGCAATCCGAAGAGTATTAACTAAAGTTCAGATGAAACACGATGAAGGCGAGGATTTGAGGAAGCAAATGGAGGAGAGAATGTTGAAGAAGTAGACGAAAGTGAGAGTGAGATGGCTGCTCTTTCAAAGGAAATAGAAGATCTCAAATTAGCCATAAAAGAAATGAAGATAGAATAGAAGGCAGAGACAGATGGAGTTTGAGAGTAAGAAGAGAGAGGGGGGATCATTAAGAAACTTGAGGTAGAGAAGCCAGATTTTCTAGAGGTGGTGAGAAAAGAAGTCAATGAGGGGGAACCTGGAATAATGGGCCTTCTTGGATCTGTACTGCAAGGATTCATTGGAGATCTTCTCCCAACTATATAACCTGCCAGCCGCGAGGATAGATAGATAGATAATTGAAAGACTGATAGGTGTTCGGGCAACTGGGCCCATTTACACCTTGCCCATCATAAAGGTTTGCTAAGTTTATACACTTTTATAAAGTAGTTAAGCTGCCACACGCTTTAATGTATGCAAGAATGACATTCTGAACATCATTGCGAGTGATATTACTTGTACACAACAGTCCAGTCAATGAGGTGTCAATATTAAGCGCTGTCAAAGATCCCACCATGTTACATGTTTTTGGCAATGCAGCAAAAAATGAGCCACATCATCAAGCCGATTACACACTGTGCAATTTGCAGGAATATCATTATTAAGAATGTTTAGATATGCACCAAGACCACAATGCCCAAGACGAAGTCTGGTTAAAGGACCTCTTCTCTACGATTGTTTCTGGATAATTTTGCTTTAGCTATAAAAGGCTAAATGCCATAAAGATGGCGTCCTTTTAAGGATGAGGTCCATCTCTGTTGCCATTTCGCTTGAGCATGGGTCTTACTGACGGTGCATAATTCTGAAGGAGAGGGCAATATTGTCTCATCCTGTTCTGAGACATCAAAATCTAATGCAGCTTTTGCCAACTGATCAGCTTTTTCATTTCCAAATATTCCAACATGAGCTGGTATCCATGAAAACTCAACATCTAAAAGATCTTTACTTAATTCATTAAAAAGGTCGAGTATAATATTGATCAAGTCTTGTCTTGCTAACGAGGCACCTGTCTGAACTGCTTGTAAAGAACTGACAGAATCACTGAAAATGACCGCTGATACAGGTCTCAAAAAATTAATCCACCGCAAAGCTTCAATGATTGCTGCAAGTTCAGCAGAGAATACAGATAAGTGATCAGCTAATCGTAAAGAAATTTCTCTTTTATCAGTGGCTATGAAGATACCTGCACCAACACGACAGGACACTGAGCACTTAGATCCATCAGTGTAAATCTGCATTGCATTGATCCGCTGTAAACTTCGGATATGTTCCTCGGCAAGAGCTTTAACACGAGGCGCTGGCTCAGATTTATTTGCTTGTTCCAGGACATCAAGATAAACTGATGGAAGGTCAAGTAACCATGGTGGCTTCTTTGGCAGAACACTTACATCAGCTATGGCAACATCATGTACATAATGATGGAAAGGAGTTCTCTGAGAACGCATCCCATAAGGCCCCATAGTGTCTTTCCAAGGATCTAGGAAATACTCAACACAATCTCCCAATACAGCTGAAGTAGGGTGCTTCATTCGAAGAGATTTTAATTTAAGCATGTACCGAACTTCTAACAGTTCACGTCTGAGATCTAAAGGCATTTCACCCGATTCAACATGTAGAGCCTCAACAGGGGTAGTTCTAAATGCTCCAAGGCATATTCGTAGGGCTTTTGACTGAACAACAGCTAAAGTAGTGTCGGAAATGCTAGAAAAATGCTTTTTGACTTATATTTCATATTCAGAGGTATTACAGTTACTTAAATAACAAATATCACTTTAAGAAACATCTACCTAATGTAGACCGAGGGAATAAATTTTGAAACATGCCCTAAAATGCGTTTTTACTGATGAAAATGCCAAAAACTTAGAAAAATAAGCGGTAGTGGGACTTTATTTGATACAAACATTATATACTGTATCTTCTGCTGATGCTACTTCTACTGTATCTACTGCTGATGTTATTTCTACTGTATCTACTGCTGAAGCTACTTCTACTGTATCTGTTGCTGATGCTATTTTTACTGTATCTACTTTTATTTGATACAAACATTAACTGTCTGTGTTACGTCATCAGCATGCACGGTATCGACAAGTGAAATTGACACCTGAGCACAAGCTCGGGCGAAGGGTCATCTCAATAGATGTTTTCTTCAAAATGTTGAATATGTGTACGTATAGTATACGTATTGGTTATGTAAGGGACCATTTGTGTATGTGTGTTTGTTGTGAAAAAAACATTCGAATTACTGTACATTGGAAAGAATCCTATCACTTGTCTTATCTTATCGATTGATTGTAGAAATGTGCAACGTTTTAATATATGTTTTGCATGTCAACAGTATGTTTCATTGCAAAAATATGGATGTAATTCGGTCAGTTTAATCTAGTTGTGAACAGTGGCCAAAGATTTTACGAAGTCACTGGTGTAGCTTCTTTAGAATATATATTCTTATTCTCCTAAAGTTTGTAGACCGCCCGTCTAAGTACTCCCTTGTCAAAGTTGTCAAGGATGGTTTTACGTCCCGGTTTTGCTTTTGAGACGGTCCCTGTCTTGTCTGATTTGTTTACAATATTGTAAACTTGTTGGTAAGACATACCAACAGCTCTACAAGTTCTGTAATAAACCATTTCTATACAAATGAAAGGTTTTCCTCTGTCTTTTTCAAGCACAAAAACTTATAAACCTTTGCAACAATCGTCTGCAAATAGTTGGCCATAGTTAATTTATATTTTTACACCACCTGTATTATATGCATAAATGTAAAGACTATTTCAGATTTCAGTTGTTGAACTCTTAAAAAATCTGAAGTTGTTGTTTTGGTACCAAATTCTCTACTGTAAACTGCCCTTTAAATGCATGGGAATGTTAAATCAATTGAAATAAAAATTTGGTACACTATAGGTGAGTTGTTATATTGACAACAGAGTACATTTATCACCTTTCTAAAGATATCAAGGCTAAAAAGCATTTTTCTAGCATTTCCGACAGTTCTTTAGTCTTGCCTTTTGTGTAGCACATGCAGATCCATAGGCTTGACAAGCGAAATCAAGTCGGGATCTAATGAGGGCACGATACAACAGTAATAAACACTTCCTGTCTGCACCCGATTTGGTACTGGAAATACTTCTCAGAAGGTTCTGAATCAAATAGTCTATATGAGGTTTCCAAGTAAGCCTGTTATCAAACCAGAGTCCCAAAAACTTGACTTTATCCACAAACTCCAAATGAGAACCGCACAAAACCAATTTTGAATTATGAGGAATCTTCGCCCGAGTAAAAATGATTGCAGACGATTTAGAAGCTGAAATCTTAAAACCCCAATGGACACACCAAGTCTGTACAAGATTAAGAGACTGCTGAATGCCGTTAAAGACAGTGTCAAAATTACTGGACCGTTTCCACAACGCTCGATCATCTGCAAACTGTGATGTTTCGACCAGTACACTGATATTCTCAAACAGGTCATTAATCATAACATTAAATAATGTTGGGCTGATTACAATACCTTGAGGTGTTCCATTCTCTAACATGTATACATCCGACAGAGAAATACCAATGCGAACTTGTATAGTTCTGTCCCTCAAGAAATCTTGTATCCAGTCAAGCATGCGGCCACAGACTCCAAGCTTATACAGTTTTATTACTAAACCGTCCTTCCATAACATGTCATAGGCTTTCTCAATGTCCATGAAAACAGCCAGTAGATATTCAGTGCTTCCTAGTGCCTTTTTAATTTTTTCAAGTCGCACTAAATGATCAGCACAAGATCTGTTTTTCGAAAGCCTGACTGGACACCTGAAAAGAGATTGTTCTTTTCCATGAAGTAAACCAGACGGTTATTTACCATTCTCTCCATTATTTTGCACATGTTGGAGGTAAGAGCAATAGGCCTGTAGGATGTGGCTTGAGTAGGATCTTTACCAGGCTTTGGAATAGGAACTACAATTGCCTTTTTCCAAGAAATGGGAAGTTTGCTTTCAAACCAAATGTGATTAAAAAGTAAAAGCATAGTTTCAAGGCTGATAATTGGCCGATGTTTGAACATATCATAACACAATAAATCGTCACCTGGAGAGGTATTTTTTCGTCCAGAGATGGCAATCCTTAATTCCTGTAAACTAAATAAAAAGTTGTAGTCTGCGATATGATGTGTGGGGCAATGTAAGATATCTGAATACTCTGATTCAAGTGACTCTTTAATGAGCCGGAAGTCTGAATTAAAGTTATCTGTACAAGATACTTTTTGAAAGGACTCTGCCAGTGCATTACTCTTGTCAGTATTTGTTGTTGCTGGTGTGTCTTTACCAATAGATGGAATAGCACGTTTAGAACAGGAACTACCAGAAATAATTTTCACTTTTCTCCATACCTGAGAAAGAGGTGTATTTTTATTTATGGAACTTGTGTACTTAGACCAAGACAAACGTTTAGCTTCAGTAACAGTTCGTTTTGAGGAAAGCGGAAGCGCGCCGAAACTCTATCAAGTCAGATGGTAAAGCTGATTTTTCAACCAGTTTTTTTGCCCTCTTCCTAGCATCATGTGCTGATTGACACGCATCCGTCCACCAACATACTGGCGGTTTAAGAGGACGTTTTACCTGAACTTCTGCCTATGGTTCTAGTAGCAGCGTTAATAATGTTAGAAACAAAGCAGTTATGAAACTGTTCAAGGTCAATCGAATTTATAGCTGGCGTGATAGTGTCAGATCACAAAGCAGTAAATGCAGACCAGTCAGCTTTAGAGAAAGTCCACCGCTGAGCTGTTTCTCTTAATCCACTGTATTGGGTACCCAATGTATTTCCTCATAGCATCATTAATTCGTCCATTCGTGAAATTGTGTCAAGATATACACACCTATATTCATGAATGGCGATTGTGTATACTAAAGGATGAATTACAACCATATCATTAATCTATATTTGACATTCAATACAAACACGCGTACGATAAGAATACCCCATGTGTTTACGAAACGCAGTTCTATGTTGACTTGAGGTAAAAACAAACCCCTTTTCTGCAAAATATCAAGCATTATTCCCTCTTTGAATGTTTAAGTATTTCTACAATGGTATGCAGTCTAAATAGAACTTTAAACACAGAAACAAATCTAACTGGGTGCTGGACATCTTAATCGGATCAGCTCGAAATCTTCCACAGTTTTAAAAATACATGAATTGATAGACTGATATGTTTAAAATATGTTCTTGCTGAAATGGCTAATATGATGCTGCCTTTTATAATAAACGTGTCATGTTCATGGATTGTCTGTTTAAAAAAACGGTAAGTTTAAATTTACTTTGAAAGTTTTGGGACTCGCGAGTGAGTGAATGAGTTGAGTGTTACGCCGCTTTTAGCAATATTCCAGCAATATCACGGCCAGGAGACACGAGAAATGGTCTCCACACATTGTGTTCATGTGGGGAATCAAACCCTGGCGTTGGGCATGACGAGCGAACGTTTAATCCACAAGGTTACCCCACCACCCCACACGTATACATAATCAGTTACTGTTCAGTACCTGTTCAGTAACTGTATATTATATATTTTATCTCGACCAGTGAATTGTCAACGCGTAGAATTACGCTTCGCGGAACATATATGTGGAAGTGATTTGCCTGCATGTCTGTGTGCCATGAGCATGTCATTTGATCTCCAGAGGCGAGCAGACATCCTCGTGCTGAATACAACATGACACAGACGATGTTCATGACACGTCAACGACAAAAACTTCAAACGCTAAAGGGTACCAACCAGTTTGGCTTCTTTAAAAATAGCAAGCTGATAACGAAACCTTGTTTAGCTACAGAATCCACGACGTCGACATCACAGAAAACCAGTCAAAAGAGACGGCGCATTGTAACATCAAGTACAGATACCGAACCAACGTCTCCCATCGTGTCGAAATAGGAAGTCGGCCGAAGCCCGGATCATAT